CCCATCATCATCCCCCCCCTCGGCTTGCCCCGCTGGCTGTGCCCTCCCCCCCGCCCCGAGTGAACCACGCTGCCCTGGCCGGACACGGCTCTGTCCCTGCGGAATTTCCCCCTCTGTGCCCTCATCCCCGGGCCTGCATCGCCCTCCACATACGCTCCTCATCTTCCTCCACACACTCCTCAACCTTGTGTCTTCATCGCCATCCTTCTGCGTTCATCACCCTCCGCACACCTTCATCCTCCTCTCCCTCCGCCTTTTCATGCCCTCATCCCCTTCCTCATCCTCCTCCGCCCACCCTCATTCCCATCCTCATGGCCTGTTCCTCTGCACATGGTGCCCAGGAAGGCTCTTTCAGCCCACACAGTTCCCCCTTCCCAAGGGAAAACTATCTGGGAGCAAGGCCAAGGACACGTCCGAGGGTAGGCGAAGCATCACGGAAAGGCGACTGTCCCCCTGCGCCACGGGTATCTGTGACAGGTATCGGGTCCCCCCAGCGCCCTGCTCGGACAGTGGGTGCTCCGGGCAGCCTCATCCAATGCACATTTTCCTGATTTTCCTGCTGGGACAACGGTCGTGAACAAGGCAGCAGAGGCCGCGAGCTCCGTGACACCCGGCGCTTTCAGCACCCTCTGATGGGGAATAAACCACCGTGACCCGCTGGGGCTGGGCGCTGGAAGGCCGAATCTACCCCAGGAACAGCGGCAAAATGGCTCCGATTTTCCTCAGGCCCTTCGGGAGCCAGCGTTACTCATCCCTTACTTGGGCAAAAATGACATCGGCTTCTCCCGGAGATGACAGCCCTAATTGAGTTCAATCGGAGTTTGGGCTGAGTAAGGCATGAGCCAACACGCGTGCGTCGGGCCGCAGGGAAAACGCTCGGGAGCCGGGAGCATCGCGCCGGAGCCGGCAGCGCCAGAGCCGGCAGCGTCGGAGCTGTGAGCCTGGCTTGGTGCTTTGCTTGTGCCCTGTTCATTTTTATCCCCCCTTTTTCACCCTCCTTCAGAAGTCTTCGATCCGCCTTTGGGCTCTTCTCCGTGCGCTTGGTGGGAACAGCAACTTCCTTTCCCGACTGACAATATAAAAGAGCTGCGAGTGGCAACGCCATAAATAATATTTGCTTTCGGCTGGCACATGTGAGCGCGGGCAGCAAACCAAGAACAGCTACGACGCTGTAAAACGCCGACACTTCTCCGCCGCGGCTTCGCTAATTAAAAGCCCATTCCTTTGGCTTCTCAAAAGCGGCTGGAAAACACGGGCTGGGCCGCTAGGGCTGCACCGAGATCCCACAGCTCCAGACGGGACCTTACTGATTATGGGAGCTGGGAGATGGAGCCCAAATCCCTTGTGAAGGCTGCCAAGCGCACGCTGCGGGAGCCGGTGCTGCTGCAGGCTCCCTCTGGGATGCCTCAGGTGGCACTGGAAGTGGGATGGGTGATTTTTTCCCCACCATCCATTGATTTTTTTTTGCACTTTCGCAAAAATCTTGCAGGTTTGCGTTTTGCATCCTGGACAAATCCATGCCACGTCCCTGCAGTGCGCGAGCAACGCGGCTCCGCGCGCTTCGACGGGGCGCC